ATCAATGAAAACAAACCTCGTCGTCGGTCTGCCACTGGAATCTTCTGCTTGTACAGTACGGAGCTTTTTGCACCACCTTTTTGTTTCTCCAGACTGGAGGCGCCTCGCAAGTCGTCCCATCCACTTCTCCTTCTTGCCGCTGAACCACGCCACGGCATTAACTTGTATTCTAACAAGATTAAAATATATTCGTCCTGGGGATTAGCATAGTTAGGTGTCCTTTCACCTCGCCACAGTGGGCTTTGATCTGCGTTGCGAGGCTGAGAGTCCTCCTGGCTCGGACCTTGCCGTTCGAGTGCCAAGTGTGAAATTGGCCTGATGTCATCCCCATTCTTCACCTTTTTACGTCTTTCACCACTTTTAATGATGTTTCCGCCACGACGCTCGGGCACCTCCGAGCAGATTCCGCTGCGGCCCGGAGGAAGCATGTGTGTAAATGGCACAGTAGGGGAGGAGGTGGTCATGGATGGATGGGGCTTTTTATTTATTTATTTATTTATTTATTTTAATTTATTTTTTTTGGGTTGTTTATAACAGGCAGCTACAGTGGAAGATCCGAAGAGGAATGTTCCGAAAATTCTACGGTTTGGAGTTAAACCATATGTTCTGGAAAGACTCAAAAGTCAGAAATTCAAAAAAAAAACGAACAAAACCCAACTCAACAAGTGCTTTTTCTTTTCTATTTTTTTTGGGGGGGGGGCGTATGATCCCCAATCCCCCACCACTCCACAAAGATCACAAACAAATAAACTTGCAATGATTTTATTTTGTTTAATCTTTTTTTAAGAGCCAAAGACAATAAATTTGGTTTTGTTCAAATTTAGCGATAATTTGTTGCCATCCATCCAGTTTTTCAGTGCATTCAATTCACTTTCAACAGTATTCAGAAGCTGCTAGTTTTTTGCCAGCAAGGTAAGAGTATCATATTCCGCTCCTAAAACATATTTGATTATTTCTGAAATGTTGCATCTTCATTTATAAACCAAATAATTTAGGGCTTATGACAGATCCCTGAGGTACCTCGTGAGTCACCTTTCATAGCACGGATTGTATGTTGTTAAAGTGAACATTGATTTAGTCATCCAAGTAGAGGATTGTGTCGCAGGAATCTGGCTTCAAGTATCAACTGTTTTTTTTTTTTTTTTTTTTTAAACAGTAGATTTATTTGTCAAAATATGTCTTTACGTGAAGCTGCCCCATGTTGCAGAACTTTGGGGTCCGCTGAACTGGGCTAAAAAATGATCAATTACATTCATTAATTAATCAACTTAGACTGCAAAAAAGTTTGTCGTTCAACCCTACTTACGCACACATTCATTTTTATCAAATTGATGCCATATTGAACACACAAATGTTACAGTCAGCATTATTTGTACTCTTATTCATGTTTTTTTTGTACTAAAATATTTCACTTGACTTCCTTTGGGAAATCGTATTTTGTATTATCAGGCTTTTATCTTGCACTGTCTTCCATTTTGATGCCAGTCGAGAATTGTTGGCACCACTCCTGGAAAGTATTTCACACAATTGCTGCCTGCCAGCTATTCCTGGATAGTTGTTAAGTTCCCTGCCACCTACGTAAATATTCAAAGTTGCGCTTGGAAAAAGTCTCTGCAATTCGCCGACACTTTTGGACGACCACCTGAAACCCCCCTAAAATTTTTTTACTCAGGTCAGCCTCACTCATCCTTTTTAGGGAGCCCATTACTGTTATCCTGGGATCCTAAACACGAATCCACACAAGACTGTATGGAGGCTGCTGCAATTTTGGTTACCAATGGTCACCATTTGAGGACATTTGTCAAGAGATCAATTTGATTGTCAGTATTTCTGCACAAAGTCACCGGAGAGAGGGTTGACGTGCCCTGTTGAATGCTGCTGTTTTGGTTAACAAATAGTTCAAATAGTCTCTGTTCCAATTTAATGTCAGTGTGTGATCAGAAGATTTTAGACTTCTTTGTGTTTAAGGAGTGGCGCACCCTGTGACTAATAAGGGCAAGGGGTTCAGTTAAAAAAAAAAAAAGGTAGATCGCGCTGTCTATGTACCTTTAGATGTTTCTGTTTTGGTTTGTAACAGAATTTAATGGTCTAGGCAATTAACGATTGACGGGTGAATCGTGATTTTTCTGTGAGCTTGAGATAAGGGGGTCTGCTCTTGAGAGACTGGTTCTGCATGAGTGCAACAGGTCTCCACCGTTCACTTGAATGTGGGACATTAAAAACAGAGGCACTTATTTGTCGTAACTGGGCGACTCCTTCTGACAACTAATTGAGGCTTCGTCTGTGTTTGACAAATTACGGCCTTTAATTTCCATGCTCATAGTATGCTGAGAAATTATTGACAATTTCTCACTGTATGCACCGATGGCTAGAAAGCAAAGTGTGTCGAGTCTCTGTCACTGAAATGCAGGCTGCAGGCAGTGAACGGGAGTGATTGATTTTTTTTTTTTTCCCAACAGCGTTTTAAAACATCACCACCCTTCCTCTCTTTGTGGCAGCGTGCATCTTACTTGGCAATCCGGGTCATGGCACCAATTGAAAAGTTCTTTTACTACTTTAACTGGTCCTTTTATGTTTTTGGTAATATTTTATATGCACTACTCTACCATTAGCCACCCATTGACATTGTATTCTATATATTTATTCTGCCAGATGCGGCTGAAGGGTTAGTCCAGGGGTGTCAAACATATGGCCCGCGGGCCGGATCCGGCCCGCAAAGGAGTTTAATCCGGCCCGCGAGATAATTATGTAAAGCAGGGGGTGTCAAACATACGGCCCGCGGGCCGGAACCGGCCCGCAAGTAGGTTCAATCAGGCCCGCAGGATAATGTAAAAGTGAAAAAAATGCATTAAAGACACAGAATTAATATTTTTAATCAGGTGCAATTCATTGAGTATCCGCAAGGGGACACTGTTTTGATCAGAGAAGAAGACAACAGCAGCCTCAGTCTGTCACTGAGACAGACCCATGACAGCAGACGCTATCAATAGCACTCTCACATTTACACATTTAATAGCACTCTCCTTAGTTTGTAAGGTGTAGGCAGGGATTACATTTAGATTTTATATGCACGTGTAAATGCTTTAAAACTTGCTTTCTTTATGAATCTTGTTTAATCTTAAAGTGCATTACTATATTTTTCAATACCAATTACTTGTTAAAGTTTGTACAATCAGTGGGATCAGTTGCAATGCATATATGTGAATGATAAAAGTAAATTGCACATTTGTCGAAGGAAATGTAAGGTGCTTCATGAAATGTTTTGTAAAAGATATGTTCATTAAATTTCAACATTTTCCTAATGTTCTTGTGCTTTTTTATACCAAAACAAAGGAAAGACATATTGTTTTGGTTATTTATAGCAAAGTATTGTATCATTTTAATGGTCCGGCCCACTTGACATCTACCGAGGCCGTATGTGGCCCACCATGTGAAATGAGTTTGACACCCCTGGGTTAGTCTGACCAAAATGGCTCCTACTCTTATAATGTCTTGGCTAGCCCCCCACACAGGAGGGTGGCTCTGCCCTAGTCCATGTCACAATGTGTGACTCCAGGATCTTAGTGTCCAAGTAGCCAAATCTACCATGCTTTTGTGGTGGCCAAAAAAAAAATAAAATAAAATTTAAATTTTTTTTTTATATAATGCATTAAATGATGTAGAATCTCAAAACTTGATAGTCACATTTTTTTTGTCCCCTTCCAGTGTGTGGATGGACGCGCAGTGCTCGATCAAGTGTTTTCATGCGAGCCCACTTGAGTCGCATTGGGCCACGCCATGTCGCTCGGTGCGCAGTTCCTTAATTTTAACCAAGTAAAACGTCACCATCGCATTCACATTATCGTCTGGGCCAACTTGACCGTACAGTGCGGGTTTTTTTTTCCCCCCTCTGATGGTTCATGATTCCCTGTCCCGGCCTGAACTTTTTGGGAGCCTCCTGCATCTGGTGAATATTTTTCCACGCAGCACGAGAGTGACTAAGTACATACACAACTGAATGAAGTGTGTGTGTGTGTGTGTGTGTGTGTGTGTGTGTGTGTGTGTGTGTGTGTGTGTGTGTGTGTGTGTGTGTGTCAGACAAGGAGGAAAATAAAGGCGGATGATAGTAAGATATGTGTGAGCGTGAGAGAAGGGGAAGAGAGTTTGGGTGGGAAGGCTCTGTGTGGAGAATGGGTTAGCGAGGGGTGGGTGGAGGCAAAAAAGGGTTTGGGGGGTGGGGGGTATAAACCAGCCACCTGCAGCCATGACAGGCTTTGACCTTCATTTCTCTCTCTCTCTCTCTCTTCCCCCTCCCTCCTTCCACTCCCTTTTTCTGCATGGAAGTTTTTCTTTCTTTTTCCAGCAGGGTGCGAGGAAGACCGACCGTGGCGAAGACAGGACAGCAGCCACACAAACAAAAGACTAGCGGTCCAAGTATGAAAATGCAGATAGGCCATTGTTGTTGTAAGAGTGGTGGGGGGACATGGCTGGGGCTTGTCCAAGGCTTTCTCTTGCATAATGTTTTCGCTGCTTTGGCCAATGTTTTCCATCTGAATTTGAAATCCTGTCGAGTGGGTGTTTGCGTGGCAAGGGGGATTATTGCGCCCATTCAAAATGTAAACCTTTTTTTTTTGGTGGTGGTTCCAATGTTCTTTGCAGCAGTGGTGAAACATTCCGGCTGATAGAAACATAACAACCCATATTTTTGCTGTTGTTGATAATCTTCAAGGTTTATTTACTCTTTTGCAATTTCCAGGAGGCGGTTAATTACACAATTACATACATGATACAAATTATGTACACTTTTTTTTAGTTTGTTTTTTTTTTCTTTACCAAAGGGTAGCATCCAACGTAAAATAAAAAATAGCATTGTTGTCTACAACTCTGTGCTGTCATTTCATTTAAACATTGTTCATATATAGATAGAGAGCTCTACGCTGATGACTAAATTCATGATGTCGTATACCAGCAATGTTTGTAAAAGGCATTCAACGAGAATAGTCTGCATTTGTGGGTTTTTTTGTGTGAAGTAATACTGCTTTTCTGATTCGGCACAGTTAACGTTTCATGAAAAAGTCCACCCGGGGACTTTTTAAGGCAAAGTGTGTTTCAGTTTGGTGGATCATCATCATCATCGTCATCATATTTTTTTGTTTTGTTTTGAATTCACACACACTTATTTTTTTTTTTGCAGATGCGCAACAGAAAAAAAACACATTTGAAAGGCAAAGAAAAAGAAATTTGGCGTATGGCGAGGATGGGGAACCTGTGGCCCGTGGGCCGTACGTGTTCTCTGAGAGCAATTCGACAAACAGTGATATAAAAAAGCCCCTCTTTCCCCCGAAATGCTCATAGTAAATAATTTTTGTTGGTTGAATTTGTTTTTTGTGGCCCCCCCCCCCCCAACAGATTAGTACAGCCTTAGCTCGGTCACACTTGTTTTCTCCATTGATAAACACAGTCGTTTGCCCCCCCCAAAAAAAAGCCCAACAAGTTGCAGCGTTCATGCAAAAGGCCTCGTAAACACATTTTCCATTCACCAAAAAAAAAAAAAAAAAATGTTATTGCGAGATAAACAAGCAAGTGTCAACACCTCAGATAGCTACTCTAAAGCAACACCGGTCATTGGATAGATTTTTTTTTCAATAGAATCTATATAAATACACGAAGCCTTTTTTTTTTTTTTTTAAATACAGTCACAGACGGATGCTTTCTTTTTTTTTTTTGCCATGATGAGTCCTCAAATACTGTCGATTGAACGAGAACACAAGCTGCATGAGTGCTTGTGGTTGAATGCTACACGGTCACCTATCGAGGCAGCAGTCATTCATTTGAACACAGCGGTGATTTGATATTGCTATTTAAACACACACACACACACACACACACACATATATAAAAGCAACATGTTAGAAAATAATGCCATAGAGCTCTCTGTCTCTCTTCATATGATTTCAAAAACAAAATGATGTTAGCATTTTAAATTCACAGTAGCCATTGATGCAGCAGGACAGCAAAAAAAAAAAAAAAACACATTCTTTGGACTTGTTTCTTCTCATATAGAAGTGCCGGATGTAAAAATGACAATCATTATATCATATGTGTATATATATAGATGTGTGTACTGGCATTCATAAGTAATACATTAACTTGAAGCTCCTGCTCGGGCATTGGAAACGGACAGTGACAACTTTATACAGCATTTTGTTTAGACGTGATATTGCAGACTCTGGATTTATGCTGGTATATTCTTTCTTCTTCGACTGGCCCTGGTTGCTGGATGATATTATTGCATCTTAATATTTCTATAGTGGGACTCGATGTGGACTGGCTTCGCTATACTCTTGTAGACTTTCTTTATATTTCTGTGTGATAGGATAGACTTTGAAAAAAAAAAATTGGAGGACGGGGTGTGGTGTTCAGTCGCTGTCGGATTTGTCGTCCTTGGTGACGGTGGCGTGGTTGTACAGGCCCTGCGCCATCAGGTGCAGGGCCAGCGTGTTCTTGCCCCCGTTGGCCTTCTTGATCTTGGCGCGTTTGTTCTGGAACCAGATCTTGATCTGGGACTCGTTCAGGCCCAGCTCCTGGGCCAGGTTTTGACGCCGCTGCTCGGTCAGGTAACGGTTGGTCTGGAACTCGGTCTTGAGTCTCTGCAGCTGCTCGGCGGTGAAGGCCGTGCGCGGTCGCTTGTCCTCCTTGCTGGTGCTCTTCTTCTTTGGTTTGCGCGATCTCGGACCTGCAACGGGAGAAATCCACAAATTGTGTGGAACGGAACCATATTAAGAAAAAAAAAAAGCCAAACGTGCATTATTTGCCTCTTTCCGACGGAATGAGCATTTGCTAGTTTTTCTTCAATAAATCCAGCGCGCATGCACGTAATTATTGCCCAATTTCGGGCTCCCGTTCATTTGAATTTCACTTCAAATGATTCACAAACAATTCTACAGCGATTGTGTATGATGTGGTTTCGTCATCCGAGGAACCACGTTGGCGCAGTGTTTTATTTTTAATGTGATATACTAAACACACACACACATACGCACGCGCACATCGCGATGTATGCGTGTGCCTCCTCCACATCCTCGCACAAACTCTACACATCGTAGTAGTCGCCTCCTCCAGCTACATAATGCATGAGAACAAGTCGTACTCCACTCATTTTGATCCACGCGCGACACTCGCATATACATCCCCCCCCGCCGACGCCTGTAAACTTTGTTTTGCTCAACTTGACGTTTAAAAAAAAAAACTAACAAACAAACAAGCGGACGTGCGAACAAATGCATCCAAGAAAAAGAATCTTGCCGAGTGGCACGTACAAGCTAGGTGCAATAATTCGTATTCTTATTTTTTTTCCCTTTCAAGCAAGGCGATTCGCGTGCATTTATTTCTTCTCTTGAGATTTTTAAAATATAACAGTACTTGTTTAAAAAAAAAAAAAAAAGCAAACTGGCGTTGTTCTAAGTCATCGAAAAGGTAAACACATGGCTGGACGAGGCCCGAACGGACAGCTCGAACGTCGGTCAATGTTCCGTGGACACCCACCTGAAGAGGGCCGGTCCGAGTAGCGGGTGCAGTACACCCAGGCGGGCCACAGCATGGGCTGCTGAGCCGGGGCTGCGTTGGAGCTGGCTTGGGAACTGTCCGAGTCCGAGTTTAGGCACTGGTCTCCGCTCTCCCCGTGGGTTTTCAGGGGCTCCTCGGCGGCTATGGCTAGCTCCTTGGCGCCGGTGTCCGCGTGCGGCGTCGAAGTGCCCTCCGTGGGCACAGTGCTGTCCAGCGGCTCGGTCTGATGCGCCGCGGGGCTGCCGAGGCTCTCCGTTGCCGGCGGTGGCGGCGGCGGGGGTGACAAAGTACTCTCCCCTCGGCGGTGCTGGTGCTGGTGGTTGGCTGCGGTGTCTTTTTTGCGTCCGAAATCCGGCCTCAGGATGTTGTCGATGAAGAAATTGGTGACCCGGTGCGGGTTCTGCGCGTTGCCCTGAGCCTGCAGCAGAGGCAGGATGGCCCTGTTGGATTCCGCCGACCCGTGCCGATCCGCCTCGTCTCTGCTGCCGCGCTCGTTCTCTTCCATCTCCTTTTTTTTTTTTTTTTTTTGAAACTCTCTTTACGTTTAACCCCTTTGTCGCTCTCCTCCGGCGCGCTTCAGATGCACAAGTTCGGGGGGGATTTAATCGTAAAAAAAGGGGGGAAAAAAATTTAACAATGGCGAGTGATCGACTTGCTCAGCCTTGGGGTAGCCTCCTCGTTAAAAAGCATACTTTTTGGACATCATAGCCCCCCGCGCTGCTACCGTTATAAGTGCGCCCGAGCCATCGGCGCACATGTACGGAGACGTCCGCGCGCGGCGAACGGCTTCGGCTAAACTAAATAAAGAGGCTGGAGGAAAAAAAGTGATGCTCTTAATACTCTCACTCTGGAGTTTGCTTCTTATTTTCCATACGAGAAGCCCCCAATGAGTGACGTCTCCCCACTGTCCTCCCAGACACGTGCCTCCGACCAATGGGAGGCCAGGAGCCAGGCCACGTGACTCTGGCTCTCAAGCTCTGCGCGCACGCCCCCTTTCTCGCCTTTTCACACACCCGGATCCACTGCGAGGCTCTTTCGGTTAATTGATTACGCGACATGAATTTTATTTATTTATTTGTTTTTTTTTTGCGAAACGTTTGTTCAATATTATTCAAAGCCACTGTAACGTTATGCACAGTTTTGCCATTCACTTAAATGGGCGGAAAAACTGCATGCTATTTCAACGATGACTCACGAGCTGTATTGCACACCAACGTGAGATAACAAAAGCCAGGATACAAAAAAAATGTGTAAGGAAGGGCATTCGGTGTAAAAACTGAGCCCCGTCTCAACAACCGTCATAAATGTTTCACAACAACCCATCTTAACCATTATATGCAAATGCACCAACTTTAAAGAGAAATACCACCGAATTGGACTTTGGGAGTGATTCTTTTACCATCATTTCCCCTCATTGTTGTCACTGTTCAAAAAACATATTTCTCTGACATGTACAATGTATATTATGCATCCTGTGTTCTACTCTAGCATCATTTCTTCGTAGTGTTGAGATGTCTTAATCGCACCCTAAAAGGAAAAAGACATATGAACTAATGAAAACATCATTTCTTCACATCAGATATTGATTCTATATTCCATGCACTGAAATTAGAAACTTTTAAAAACAAGTTTTATTTGTTTTTACAATTGTGTGGCGGGCCGGGCCTTTTCTCTGGCTCACAAGCCATAGGTTGCCTATGAACAGAAATAGGCCAAGACAGCAAGATAAAAATATCCCACAGTAATTTAAAATTGGCCAAAATAAATCAAAATTATACACTTAAAAAAAATGTGTGAAGCATAACATGATGTCATTCATGTGGAACCTATTAGGTGCCGCTTAGATTTCTAAGTTTGTCGGGGCAGATGATAGATAGGAAACCAAAATAAAACAAACAAAAAAAACAATACAACTCATGTTTATTTTTGCATATTATGATTATTTGTTGGTTAAATGCTTCCCCTCTTTGTTTTTAGAATGGCATTGCGGGCCGGATTAAAAATGGTTCTCGGCCATAAAATGGCCCATGAGCCGTAGGTTGCCTGAGTCAGCAAGACAGAAATATTGAAGGAAATAAAAAAAGCAAAATAAACATATTGTAGATATTTATTTTGTTTGTTTTATGTCACATCCATTTGTAAGTTACAAAATAATTTATTTACATTTGAGGAGCCCTTGTTTTAGACCTTGTATCAATTAAGTCCCACAATGGATGAGTGAGAAAACATTTGATCTTACCTGTTCACCACATTTATGTATATTTTTTATTTGTTATAGAAATATCAAGCTTTGTTGAGAAGACTCTTTCCAGTCAACTCAAAAAGTTTACTCTGTGTCTATTTTGTTTTTTTCCCTCTCCCAAGTATTCCCACGCTGGACTGTGGTCCATATCCCCTTTTAAAAGGAAACCACTGATGCACACCGACATGCAGTCGGAGCCCCCCCCCCCCCCTCCCGCCACAGACGCCGCCATGCAGAGCGT